TGAAAAATAAAAAATAAATGTAAAAGTAATTGCAAAAATGTAAACGGATTAGATTTACCTGCTGAGACAAATTCTCAAATTGGATTTAAAATATCAAGCTTTATTCAGTTTATAGGAGACAAGTTCCAAATGTAATGTCACAGATTTGAAATAAAAGAATGAGAATATTATTAGGTAATAATATACATCAAGACAGAACACAATACTAGAAATAAAGAAGGTCATTATTTAATGACCAAAAAAAAATGTTATCAGGAACCAATAATAATTATGAATCTATGCATACCTTAACAATATAGCCTCAAAATATATAGAATGTAAATGCAATTTCTACTTGAAGGATATATCAATGCTACTACTGTGATTGGTTGAAACACGATTGCTATCTTATAGAAATTGAATGAAACATTAGCACAACAAGAACTCTAATCTGAAGGAAGCTTTTAAATTTACTGCAACACTGTGGTTGCAATAAATACTATCTTTTTTTTTTTTAAATCATCACTGGATGATATTTTATTGATTTTTTAATTTTTATTTATTTATTTATTTATTTATTTATTTAAGAAAGAGAGGAATGGAGAGGGGGGAGAGCGAGACAGAGAGATAGAGAGAAAAATCCATTGATTGCCTCGACCAAAGATCAAACCTGAAACCTAAGTATGTGCCTTGACTGTGAATCAAACTCACAATCTTTTGGTATATGGACGACATTCCAACCAACTGAGCCACTTGGCCAGGGTGCAATCAATACTATCTAACACACACACACACACACACACACACACACACACACACTGCTTTAATGTAAATAGTACTACATCCCTCTACCTCGAGAATCTTCCTGAGATATGTATAACCTAGGTAACTTTTCAAGGTATATAAAGTGTAGAAATTTGACTACATTAAATAACAAAGTTTTTCCTGTACATCTCTACACGGATACAAATAATATGCAAGTTTCAAATGGGGACTACCTACCTATACATTAAATACTTCTTAGTACTATTAGGTAGTAATTTAGATTGAGTTTATTATTATTATTGAGTTTATTAAGGTTTCATAAAAACTCATAAGATATATTTATTTTTAAAGTTTATAATTAAGAAAATTAGCAAATTCCTAGGGCTTCCCTATCTTGAAGCTGAATTCCATAATCCTTGTTTAGATTACATTTTTTCTGAAAATTCTCTCATGCCCTCTGCTGTTCATTTACTAAATATAAATTATTAAATAAAGTAAAACATTCATGAAAATTTACATATTGAGTCACTCTTAGGAAGCAATATATACTAAAAAACTAGTTAATATTTTAAATTAAAAATATAGTGTTTCCTACTGAAAAAACACACACAAAATGAAGAAATAATTCATAACCTCACTACTTAGAGATAACAATTGTTATCAAGTTGTGTGTTTTCCTTTGAAATTGTTTCTATGGGGTATATTTTAAAATATGATTTTATATTAAAATGCCATCATTATTATTATTACAAAATTGGGATATTAGACATACAATTTGGTGTTCTACCCTTTTCACTTAATATTACTGAGAGCAGGACCTTCTTCTAACTGTGTGGAGATGGGGTGCTGTCAGTCACCGTCTTGGGGTTCCATACCAATCCATACCGAGAGGGTGATGTGCCCCATCTCTACAGGGACCATATACACTCCAAGAGGGTGATGGGCCTCATTTCCACAGGAATAGAAGCCCCTGATCTCGGAACCCTCCTAGACCTAGCAGTAAATATCTGTTCATTTTGGCTGTTTATCAGTTGATTAGGGGATTTATCAGATCCCCTAATCAACTGGTAACTGTAAGTAAAATGTTTCCCTGAGTTCTGTGAGCCATCCTAGCAAATTAATGAGAGGGTCATGGGAATCTCCAATTTGTAGCCAAATCAGACAGAGGTTGTGGGTAACCAAGGAACCTATAATTTATGATTGGCATCTGAAGTGGGTGCAAGCAGTCTGGTGGGACTGAGCCCTTGACCTGTGTGACGTGATATTATCTCCAGGTAGGTAGTCTCACAGTTGAGTTAATGGTAGGACACGAGGCTGGTGTCACCGAGAATTGCTTGTTATGGGAGAGGCCTCACACATTTGGTGACCAGAGTGTCAGAAGTAAAGTGTTGTGAGTGTGGTGGTAGTGTGAAGGTAAAGGGGACACACACACAAAGAAAACTGTAGACTTTCCCTTTTCAATTATATTATGGAAAAATTACCATATCTTTGAATAATCTTCAAAATACAATTCTAGATTATTACATAGTATTCCAGATATATACTAATTTCTGTAACACCCTCCTATTTTTTAACATTTAAATTCCTTGAACAAAAGTGTTTTTTTAACATCCCTAACTTTATGCTTATATTAAATTCCAAAAAGCCCAATATCTAGGTCACAGATATACACATTTTAAGGTGTTTTATGTATATTGCTAAACTGGCCCCTAGAAATGTTGTAATAACTTATTCAATACATTCCCACCAGTGGTATATGTTCATGACCACAGGAACAGCTTTAAAAAAAAATTGAAGATGTAAAAATATCTTACAAGTAAATTCAAAATAAGGGGGGACATTTATATATGACTCTCCACTTATTTGATGAATATTTTTCCCCCAAAGGTGTCAAGAAGATAAGATCTTTTGATAAAGTGGTAAAAGGGCCAGACCTTTTAACTGCTTCATCTTAAACCTTTTTAATTTGTTTCCTCATCCCTAATGTGTGGATAATAATACTTGCCCTGATAAACAGTGTTTTGTGAGGTTACCCTGCAATGATACATGTAAACATGCTCTGAAAACCATAATATCATACAGATGGAAGATAGTATTTTTATTAGTCATTATTAACATGCGGCCAGATTTGATATATAAATCATTAGATTTTTAAAAGTATCAATAACTTGTTTTTAAATCCTCACCTGAGGATATGTTTTTCCATTGATTTTTAAGAAAGAAGAATGGAGAGAGAGAGAGAGAGAGAGAAACATCGATGTGAAAAAAGACTGGCTGCCTTCCCTATGCTCCCCAACTGGGGATCCGAACCCTCAACCAATTATGTGCCTTGACTGGGAATCAAACCCATCACATTTCAGTGCACAGAGTGACATTCCAACCAACTAAGCCACACTGGCCAGGTATCAATCACTTTTTAATATCTTGCATTAATCTTAATTATCAATAATTTTCTCTATTTTGAAACTCATGTGATCAGAAAAGTAACTTTTCAATTATCTTTAGTTTTATTATATTTACATCAAAATAATAAAATAATCATTTTCCCATATATGCAATTCAGGGTCAATTGCAAATTCCATTTACTTGGTTTGTCTCAGAAAAGAAATGACCATAGAAACAAAATGATCTATTAGAAGTGTCTATTTAATCTAAAAATATATGGTACGTGTAAAACAAATTTGAATGCATTCTCAACTTGTTTAAACCAACACCTTTTCCGACTTCTTTTTCAAAGTTTTCCCCATGGGTTTTCTTTAAAAACACAGTTTGAAGATCAGTCTGAATAATTATGACCAAATGACAAAAAAGCCAAGAATGATTCTCAGTGGGAACTTGGTAAACTTAAAAGCTAATATTATTGTGAGGAGGAAGGAAGAACGACTAACATAGAAAGGAGGAAAGAATAACTTAAGAAAATCTAAAACTTAAAAAAGGTAATAGGTAGCAAAGAACCCTGTGATTTGGGCCTGTAAAGACTTTAGCCCACAACATGAGGAATTTAGCCCATCTCTATCATGATAGCCCCCGTAATTCTGATTATTGCACTTGGCCAAGGGTTTCGATTTCTTTAAGGCATCCTGCTTCTGCACTTGCATTATACCGAACATCATTGTTTGCAGTGTGTATTTGCTGAGAACTTAGAGGATAATTTGTAGGAGGAGGAAGTGGCATTGAAAAGTAAAAATAAACAGAAAAGGATAAAAAAAATGTCTTTTTCATCTTTTAAATTACCCATGGAATAATAAAAGGTAAAAGAGACCTCATAGAGTCATTCATTACAAATCCCTCTTCATCTTAAGGTTGAAGAAACAGATACAAGCGACACAGATAAATCAGCGACAGAGTCAGGCAATCAATCAGTCCCATGTTCTTCCCATTGCATTATGTTGATTCTCTTTTTTTGTATCTTTAGTCCTAAGCCCAAAGATTATTTGCAGACAAGAGATCAATGCTGCTGTCAACACAAGTCCTGAACTCTCAGATTTTTCTTGGTAACTTAAGAGTTAATGCTATCCCTAAAATAAAAATATAGGACAGAAATGGTCTGTCCATTATTGTAATTTGATCCTTACAAAAACCTTTTGAGGCAAGTCAAGGAAGGTATTTTTAACCTCATTTTAAAAGCGAGCAATTAAAACAGAGACGTCCCATGACTAGCCCCAAGGTCATTTAGAGTCAGAATGAGGTAGGACTCTAACTCTCTTCCAATTTATTCTGCTTCCTCAAAGAGTCCCAATCTGGCTTTTCATCCTCTTGAAAGGGGTTCTCCATCCCAACGTACCCGTTCCGGTTTAGTGAAGTTTGGACCTAACCACCCACTGAGGGTACTCCTCGTTTGCATCTAGCTCTCACCTTTAAACTCGCAGTCTCTCACTCCTTCCCTCGGTTACTGATCTTTATTTAAGCTCCTGTGTCTCTGTGGGGTTATGGCCTTCAAGACTCTCTCTCAAGCTCCATCCTCTCCAAAGAAGTCGCGTCCTCGGTATCCAAGGAAACCACACAGCCTTGCCCACCTTGCCCTTTCCGCGCTTCCCATTGGCCAGCTGAACTGTCACTGTAATCCATCTTTCCGTCCCGCCAATGGCTAATGGCTTTGAGGCGAAATACTCCCGCCCCCGAGCACAAGCTAACGCCTTGCACATTGCCTCCTGGGATATGTAGTTTCTGAGCGACCCTGAACCCTCGCTGTTGGCTCCCTTTAGAACTACCTATCCCGTCTGCCTTTGCGAAAGGAGCGGTGGTAGGCAAGAGGTCCTGTCCGGGAGGAAACATACAGCTTTGAAATTGCAACTTCGCGGCGTGTGCGGTTGAGGTGTCCATCCCTAGGGACACCGAGCATTCTTGCTCTGCTTCAGCAACCCCCCCGCAAACGTCTCTCTTTGGACCTGAGCCGGCGCAGTGCCGAGTCGCCTGGTGGTGGTGAGACCGGCCTGTGGCTGAAGTGACACCTGAGGGCGTGAGAGGGGCGCGCGCCATGATCGCCCCCCGCCTGGGCCGGGGGCTCGGCTGCCTCGGGCTCGGTCACCCCCTCCGAGTGTGGCGGGCCGGCGAGGCCACTGGGCGCTGTCAGGCCCGGCGGCTGCACGGCTCGGGGGGCGGCGAGCGCCGGCCGGGGTCCGAGCCCGAGGTCTGGCCGCCGGGCCCCGCGCGCCGCCCGCTGCGGGAGTGGGCGCTGCGGGTGAGCCCGTTCGGCCGGCTGCGGGCGCGGCTGCCGTGCCACCTGGCTGTGCGGCCTCTGGACCCCCTCGCCTACCCGGACGCCGACCACGTGCTGGTCGCCCTGAGTGGCGTGGAGGGCGGCGCGCGGGACCCGGCCGGCCTGCGCGTTCGGTACGACGAGGCGCTGAAGGAGGTGGCCATCGAGGCTGACACCGTCGACCCCCAGGCGTCCGTGCAGGTGGACGCGCCCCTCAAGTTTGGCAAGTGAAGAAGTGAAAGTGGGGTTGGGTGTGCACGTTTATGGTCTCCTTTGGGTCTGACTTTCTAACCTAATTGACGGCTGTCCCCTTCACAAACTTCCTTTTTCTTTCTTTTCCTTTTTCTTTTTCTCTTCTACTTTGAGTATTCCAGTGCTAGTTACAAATCCGTTTCTCAGCCATAGACGTTTTAAAAAATCGAATGGAAACATGATTTGGATTCATCTAAGTCAGATAACATTTATGCAGCCCCTTATGTTCTTCTTTGGCACTTTGTTCCTATTTCCGCACCTTGTCAGGAGAAAAAAAGGTTTCTTTTTTTTTAAATATATATAGATATATTTTATTGATTTTTTACAGAGAAGAAGGGAGAGGGATAGAGAGTTAGATAGAGAATTAGAAACATCAACCAGCTGCCTCCTGCACAAGCCCTACTGGGGATGTGCCCACAACCAAGGAACATGCCCTTGACCGGAATCGAACCTGGGACCCTTCATTCCGCAGACCAACGCTCTGTCTACTGAGTCAAACAGGTTAGGGCAAGGTTCATGTTTCTTGATAATCCCTTAAGTGATTTGGCAGTCCATCCACATTTCCCCTTGCTTGTGGGTCTGTCCCCAAACATCCCTGTGTATTGGATGTTCCATTACTAACCTGGACCAAGAGTTTGGTTTCAGATAGGCACCCAGCTCCTTACTGCTACATCTCCAGTCATTTTGGCTTAAGTACACGTTCCGTGACTAGCAGATTTTGAAGAAGACCACATAGTAAGACTGCCTGGGAAACTTCAATCGATCATGTCTGCAAGATTTGTTTCCTAAGTGTTTGGATTGCATGTTATTTCTCAAATGCAAGCCAACACTTTCTAGGAAAGTCTCCCCCTGGGTTCTCCTTCCTGAGACTGAGGGATATTGTTGATGATCAAACTAGCAGCGAGCACTTAAAAAATAATCTAATCTTTACAACTGAATTTATAAAAGTAGATAACTATTATTGTCACCATTTCACATAAGGAAGTTGAGAGATAGCAAGTTTCATAAAGTATGTACTTAGTGTGGGTGAGCAAATAGAAAAACGAGCATGTCTTCATGAAATGTATATTCTAGTGGGGATGGATCAAGAAGTATGCCTGTCTGCTCTCAGATACAAAGTGGTGGAATGCGGATTTTAACTGGTTGGTGTCTGCTGAACCACTATGCTTTATTACTCCTCAACTTCTTCGAACTAGCTTAGATGAGTAAGAGACCCTTGACCTCAAAATGTAACAGTCTGGGGTGGGGCAGATTGTAGTACAAAATAAACTTGGGTATTGAAATAGAGACACACAAAATTTTATGTCAGCACAGATAAAAATGGAACTTACCAGTGGTGGCGATCCCAAACCTCATGATTTGTTAATTCCTCTTTTTAAGAGCTTGAACCCCATTTCCAATGGACTGTTTCCATATGTCAATTGCATGGGCCCCTTAAATCAACATGATTCAATTTTTTTCATACTTATTCCTCTAGAGCACATGTGTCAAACACAAGGCCCGCGGGCCAAATCCTTGATAGCATGTGAGTTGGTTAACAGCACTGTTAAGGAAAAGATTGTTCCACTCATTTTAAATTCACATTTCTGGTTAACATTGTCAGTTTATGACTGTTCAGTAAACCATTCGGCCTGTGATTTAGGCTGGATTTTAGATTTTGGCCCCTTCTCTGATTGAGTTCGACACCCCTACTCTAGAGTCTAGACCCATTTCAGCAAATGGGTAAGAGTAGCATTGCTGCTCTTCAGTGTCTAACCCAACTTCTCTACCTACCTAATGAAGGAAAATAGTTTCCTTTTTTCCCTATCAACCGAAGGCTGCCTTAGATCAAGCCTTAGGTTGTAACACAACTGGGTAAAAAATTTGCAGTTATATTTGTGTCCATGGAAGTGGGAGGTAAAATTGTCTTTTTATATATTTTAGATTAATCCCAACCAAAATATTGCTGTTATTTTAGGCCTTTATAGAGTAAAGATTGTAATATACACAACTGAAGAAATTGATTTTTTCATGCTATAACTATTGAAATTGTGGTATCATATACCCCAGTATTTTGTGTTTGGGGCAACATAGTGCTTATTTCGCTAGTCTAGTTTAAGGGAAATCATTTGAATAGGGTATTAAACATCACTGTTTATTTTTTGTACTGAGACAACCACGATTACACCTTAAATTAATAGCCAAGAGTGGCACCTGTGACTTTATTTTCCAAATTTTTTTGGATAATACTGTTATTTATCCACAATTTTGAGATTTTAATACAGCATATTACTAGGTTTTTCAAAGTTGTTCCCATTTTTTATTACTGAAAATACCTGATAATGTAACTACATGCTAATATCCTCTCTTTTAAATACAAAAGATTAGAGATAAGATTTTGAAATAGTAAGTCATGATCATATATGCTAATCCACACTACCGTGTTTCCCCAAAAATAAGACATCCTCCAAAAATAAGACCTAGCGCATGGAAAAATAAGACATCCCCTGAAAATAAGACCTAGTGCAACTTTGGGAGAAAAAATTAATATAAGACACTGTCTTATTTTTGGGGATACAGGGGTACTTTTGGAAAAAGCTTTTAATTTGGGAACAAATTTTTGAAATTTCATGAATATAAGGAAGAATCGGCTGATTTAACTAGTTTATCATAGTGACTTGCTAACTTGCTGTCTTCTTACTAGACCTGTGTGTGTATTTTCTCAGTGGGAAAGAAGCTTCTATGATCTTTCCCAGGAGTTCCTTTAAGATCCCTTCCATATTGCTTTCTCTCTTTAGATGACATTGGCTAACAGAAATAACTACTCTTTTAATAAGAACTGGTCGAAAAAGGCATTACATTTGGTCCTGTTGCCATGGTGGAGACCCCTTACCTTCAGCGAGAGAGACTGCTGTCAACTATGCTCTCTCCAGGGTTCTATAATATTGGGAACTTAACTGAGGAGCTGGATTTCTAAGGGGCATTAAAACGCGTTGGAGCCCATAGGCCAGCATACTAACTTGTATTTTCTTTTTTCATTTCTAGATTTGAATATCAAGTCTTCAGGGTCTGGCTGTATAAAAGTGCAAAATATTGAGTGTGATAATTGCAAAATTGAAACTGAGCATGGGACTAGCATCTTACAGTCTGTTAAGGTATAAGCATATTTATAATTATGTGTCAGCATTATTTAAAAAACACACACCTTAAACTATGAACTGCAGTATCAGACTAAAGCTGTTATTCTGAATCATTTATTATGAATATTAAGTATAATTTATTTATCACTCAAATTATTTGCAAAAAATTTGAGGTAAAGTCAGTTCTGTTCTGAAAGTATAAAGGTTGTAGCAGCTTTGAAGGTTTTTTCTTCATATTCCTTCTAGATTTCATTTTGAATTCTACAATGAAACTAATAGTACATTTAAAGAATATTAGGTTAATCCTTGAGTTATCTCCTTTTCATCAAGGAAGAAATTATGAGGTACTAAGAGATTGAGGAACTCATTTAGGTTTACATAGCTAATAAATTGAGGTGAGATTTGAACTTGGGTCTTTCTGATTTCTGTAGAAATTGTTATTTCCACTTTTCTTTATTGTCCAAGCAAAATGTATGGCAATACTACGTTTATTCAGCATTCTTAGAGAATAAGAAAATATTTTAGGCAGTAGACCCTTAACTTATTGAATGCCACATTTTTGCATTGTTTAAGTACAGTATAATAGTTGATGTTATACTAAATAGTTAATGATGTAAACATTTATTTTACCTATTTTGTTTTAAATTTAAAAAATATATATATTTTATTGATATTCTACAGAGAAGAAGGGAGAGAGATAGAGAGCCAGAAACGCTGATGAAAGAGAAACATCGACCAGCTGCCTCCTGCACACCCCCCACTGGGGATGTGCCCGCAACCAATGTACATGCCCTTGACCGGAATTGAACCCGGGACCCTACAGTCCGCAGACCGACGCTCTACCAGTGAGCCAAACTGGTTTTGGCTGTTTTAACTATTTTTAAATTTTTTATAATCTACTTCACATTTTTGGAGGGGAATTAGATAAGCTTTAAATTATTTAAATTATATCAACATTTTTGAGCCTTCACCTCTTTGAAAATCTGATGATTGTCTCAGAAAAAAAAATACACATATATATGAATTTTTGCTTACAATTTCATAAGTTTCACTGACTCTAGAAATTCAGTGTAGTCTTGGTTAAGAACTCTTGATTTAAAATATTAATTGTTTTAGAGATACTATTTTCTAATGTTCATAAATTAGACGACTAATTTGTTTGATAAAGACTGTATTATATACCACTTGACTTCAGACTCATGTCACTATGAACATGAAGTAATCTATTATGCTGCAATACAGAAAAACTTGTAAAAATGATTCATTTTGCCCTTTTCACTAAATTAAAAAAAAAAATCATTTCTGGTCTAAGGTTTTACAATTCCCCCTCCACACCCCCCCGAATAAAGCAACCACAAGGTAAGTGATGGTTTTACATTTTTTTACTTCCTATGTTTTAGGCTATTGCTGGTTATATTGGTGAGTTTGCTCTTCCTATTTTTTTCCTCTACTATTTACCTATTCTTTTTTGTTCTTAATCCTCACCAGAGGATATTTTTTTCTGTTGATTTTTAGAGAGAATAGAAGGGACTAGGAGAGAGAGAGTCAGAGAAACATTGATGTGCTAAGATACATCAATTGGTTGCCTTGCGCATATTCCCCAATGGGGCCAGGGAATCAACCCTGCAGCTCAGGTTTGTGCCTGGGTCAGAATTGAACCCAGGACCCTTAGGTGTGCGTACAGATGCTGCAAGCACTGAGCCATGCTGTCCAGGCCATATTTACATATATATATATATATTTCTCTTTATAATTGTGGCAGAACTGAAGACATACATAAGTGATTAAGGTAAAAAAGCTATCCTCATAAATAGACCAAACATTTTCTGTTTCATATACAGCTATAATTTATTTCTCACTTGTGTCCAAAAGTGTGGGTGGCTTTTTTGTATTCAGTGATTCTAGGTTCCTTCCATCTTCTGGCTCTACCATCTCTTAGAGCCTTTTTACAACCTACACTCATCTGGTGGAAGGGGCAGAGCATGGAGAAAGCACACCAACTCTTCTAAAAACACAAGCCTGGAAGTTGCACTTATATCTCTAGTCAAGAATTTAGCAACACATAAGCGACAATCTCTTCACAAGCCCAGCTATACTCCTCTATTACTTTCGGGAGGAAAGTGGATTTTTGTGGACCAGTAGTAGTTTCTGCCACAATTGACAAACGTGACATCAAATTACTCTCTCTCTCTCTCTCTTAAATGTGGCAGAGGAGGCAATTTGTGACTGCTGTTTTGTGTTTAGAGGAATTTTCACTTAATTCCAATTTCTGAGTGCTATGCTACAAAGTTTAACGGTCAGTGGACTTTTATACTTAAATTTCAGTAAGAGTAAATACAGTATAACCTTCAGATGAACCCAGCCATAAGAGTATGAGTTTTGAAATTATATAAAGCTTAATTATGTTAGGTTTTATTTTTTTCTAACCATGTCACCTGATAAAATTAACTTTTCTGATTCTTGGATTTCTCCTTCTCTAAAATGGGGAAAATATGATACCTATTTCTCTGAGTTGTGAGGATTAAATGATAATTAATGTAAAGTAGTGAACATTGTATTTTGATACAAAGAATTGCCAGATAAGTGCTAAATGTTCTTATTAATAATGATAAATATTAATAACAATGAATAGTAACAGTGGTTATTGTTGTCATCCTCCTCATCACTTATGTGTAGTTAGCCTGTGAGTGGTCTTTGATTCCCAAGTTCTTTTTCAGTGAAGCTACTGGAACGTCCATGTAGCTCTTTTTCCCCTTTGAATCCACATGGCTTATTTAATCTCCTTAAAGCAGTTGACATTCCTTTTTACTTGATGTTATTATTTCAAACAGTGCATTTCTATTTAATTCCTGGTTCCTCTTTTCTGCTTTATTATTTAAAAAGAAATGTGTAACATGATAGAAATCTTATTAGTATAAGTCAAATTTATTCTCTCTTTTTCTCTATGTATTTTTGTATTTGTCTTTCAGAGTCAAAAATTACATGTTCAAACTAAAGGAGGCAAAGTAATCTGTCTGGGAACAATTTATGGAAATATAGATATTCATGCATCAGATAAAAGTGTAAGATTGACACTTTTTTTTTTTAAAGTAATTTCAGCTTTACATCAAGTTGGCTCAAACAGTGGGTAGGTTCTATCAAATTTGTGGCATAATATTATCTTTTACTGTATTTTAGTTCATAGTAAATTCAAATTTCAAATTAAGGTGATTAAAGGTTATGAAATTTAAATTTTAGTTTGTGATTTAATTTTTTGACAGTTATTTAGTTCCTTATGTAGAATCAGTAACATCTTTAAATACTCAATATTTTGTTCTATTATAGTTCTGAAGAGATTTTTATGATCATGGATTAAAATGGATTATTAAGTAATACCACCATAACTGGGATTAAATGTGTTAGGTTTATTTGAGTGTTTTTTCAAAACCTGTTTACTTTCCCTTTAGGCAATTGAATGATGGTTTTCAAAGTTCAACTTTCTTCAGTATTTCCACAAGATGGCACCACTAGATAGCATAGTATTACTATTCTCAAAAATTTTTATTAGCCATATGGATTTTGGTTGTTATTTTTAAATCAACTTTTGTTGCTTTCTGTGATTTAACATAATATTAAGAATAAAGGTATAATTTTGAAGTATGAATTGTCACAAAATTTATAAACATGATAAAATTTACATCTTTGAGAAACATATAAATCACCTTTTGTTTTGCACTTACACAGTTTGCAAGGCTCTTTTGTTATACAGTTGTTAAAATCCATACTCAGTTTTATTCTCAGACTAGAGGCCTGGTGCATGAAATTCATGCACATGTAGGTTCTCTAGGTCTGGCCAGTGATCAGGGCCAATTGGGGCCTTCCTTCTCCCAGCTGCCGGCTGCTGGCTGGGGCCCTCCTTCATTTTGCACCGCCCCCTAGTGGTCAATGCACATCATAGTGAGTGGTCAAACTCACAGTCGGTTGAACTGATATTTGCATATTAGCCTTGAATATAGGGATAATTGGTAAGGAGGAGTTGTGAATATATCTTTTACGTACATTACTGTTAGCATAATTAAACACAGTAGATTATAACACTAATTGTTTCTACTGTTGTCACTTTTATTTTCTGTCTTTAACCTCTGAGAGATGTTTAAACATACACATTTACATTTATTCTTTAAAGTAAACTAGTATTGAAAGACACTGCCTTGCCTTACGTAGCAGCTCTCTTGAGATGGCATTTAGTTTTATCTCTCAAATTGCTGTGGTCTTACAGGTACAAAAGGGAAATTGGACAACTTTATAGTTCCTTCAGACTTTGTCCTTTAAATGAAAGCTCATACTATCTGAAATGATCTAAGTTGCCAGAGTATTATATATTGGCATTCAAATATAAGTATCAAAGAATAATTTAAATTATCTCTTAATTATTTGCTATTTTGAATATTTTGGCTACTGTTTCCACTCATTTCTTTATTTCAACTTCCATGGTTTATTGCGTATTCATTTGGTCCTACTTTCTATTATACTATTTTGTTTTCTAGCTTGAGTTTTGTGTTGAATCAGTCTAGATATTTCTTCTTTACTTATAGTGTTCATTTTAAAGCATATTTCTAAGTTTAAGGAGTTTTATATAAAATAAATGCTTATGAAATATGTTAACTTTTAATATACTACTTTCACAGACATACTTTGCATATTTGAGAAGCAGCAGAATTGGGTTTCAATTTTGGTTCAGCTACTTACTAAGTTCTTTAACTTCAGATAAACTACTTAATCTCTATATGTCCACTTTTTTCTAGAAAATGGAATAATAGTAATATACTTCATTCTGAGGGTTGTTATGAGGATTAAATGAGTTAATACAGATAAAGTACTTAAAATGATGTCTGGCATGTAAATAACTCTAACATAGTGTTTATTATAATGATGGTGATAAAGTTAAATGAAACACATTTAACAAAGACAACTTGAGCAGTCCTGGATCTCAGTTTACTTTACTGAGACTTCATTATTCGTAAAACAGAGATGGTATTATTTGTTTTTCCCAGTCAACAAGATTATGAGAATCAAATGAGCTCTAAAAATACTTAACAGCATTCTTTACATGTTATTTTATATGGAGTTGCTGTTTTTAAATTATATCATTAATTTCAGTACCTTCATTTTGGTACAGAGAAGATAGAAATTCATATGATTCGTGGATAAATTAATGATATGTTTGTTAGTTGACCTCTGTAGATTGGACTACAAAGCTATAGTGCTTCTTTAAAAGTTGGTTTTCATTACATGTAATGTTGATTTACAATAACTAAACTTATGAAAAGTTTTTCCTGATTTTCTCAGAAAAGAAAATTATAGTAATTCTCTGTCAGGAAAGTATTGATTTTGGGATCTGTTTTTTCTCTTTAAATAGCTGTTTTCTATTAATAAGCAAGCTATATAGTTTAATTCAAAGAGTCTATTTAAGATTTGTTTCATTACCATCTATAACTGTAAATCAGAGCCTCAATATTTTGCTGTAAATGGTGGTGTCCTAAATGTAATTGTTCTAGTTATTATCTGACATAGTGCATTATATTAGTGAATTTTGCATTTGTTGAAATTAATTTTATAGAATAATCAGTTATAATTAGTATATTGTGGTGGGGGAAGTGTACTTTCACTTGCTTTCATTTGCTTTGGTGGAGCAGTGGAGGATATATTTCTAGCTTCTTACAGAGTAAAATACTTCCTGTTTAATGAACAAAGTAAATCCTTGGCATTTTCCAGATATTCCTAGAGTCTCTTAAAGGCTATTTGGTTGTGGAGAGAGTCTAATCAAAAGTGCCTCTTTGTCAGTTCAATGAAGCTTCAAATATTCTCTCATTGTTTATATATTATCTTTTGGTGTTTCCTAAAACAGCTTCTGTATCTGTAAAAAACTGGAATATTCCTAGTTGCTATCTGTTTTGTGGAAACTTGGAAAATTTAAAACCATGCATACAGCAACTTTTCATGAGGAAACTTTGTAGGTAAAAGATAAATTTTTCAGGAATTTTATACCTTTACTATAACACTGAAGAATGCCAAACATTGTATTCTCACAAATTTGAATATATCTATCTTTTATTGATAGAATTATTGAAACTAAATTTAAAGTCAGAATTTTTGTGAACCCCAAATTAGCTTAGAGCAAACTGTAGTATGTAAAAAGCAGTTGGGTGTGTATTATCTTATATAATAAAAGGCTAATATGCAAATAGACTGAATGGCGGAACAACTGGTTGCCATGATGTGAACTGACCACGAGGTCCAGGCACTCAATGCAGGAGCTGCTCCCTGGTAGTCAGTGTGCTCCCATAAGGGAGTGCCACTCAGCCAGAAGCACCAGCAGTGGTGGGAGCCTCTTCCACTTCTGTGGCAGCACTAAGGAAGTCCGGCTGTCGGACATCCCCTGAGGGCTTCCAGACTGCGAGAGGGTGCAGGCCAGGCTGAGAGATCCTCCTGAATACACGAATTTTATGTACCGGGCCTCCAGTATATTTAATAAAAGTCCATTAAAAAAAGAAAGCTTTAGAGAAAGAAAAGCAATGTTGGAGGGATCATAATACCAGATACTAGAAAACCATTTGTTCTCAAAACTGCGTGGGTACTGCACAAGAACAGACATATAGACCAGTGGAACAGAACAGAGAACCCAGAGGTCCACACAACCCATTATGCTCAATTAATATTTGACAAAGGAGGCAAGACCATACAATTGAGTCAAGACAGTCTCTTCAATAATTGGTGTTGGGAAAACTGGACAGATATTTGCAAAAAAAAAAAAAAAAAAAATGAAACTAGACCACCAACTTCTATTTCACATTCTACACAGAGTGCACTGTCACTCTTAATCTTGTAATTGATAGGGAATCAAAGTCAATAAAGTGGGTACTAACTCTTTATGTAGTTACCTACTACTTCTGTAGATACCATTTTGGCATTTTACTGGTATTTGTTTTATAATGAACTGATTTGAGTCTGTCTCTTACTAGACTGTGACCATAGATAAACTGCAGGGAAGTTGTGTCAATATATCTACTGAAGATGGCTTGCTGAAAGCCAAGTATCTTTACACAGAATCATCATTTCTATCTTCTGCTGCTGGGGATATTACATTAGGAAGTATTCATGGTAAGATGACAACGGCCTAATGCTGTTCAGACTTTGCATGTAATGTAAATTTTAAGAGATGACTCTGTTTCTCTGTCATTAAAGGATCTGCCATTAGGAAGCTGGCCCTCTAAATTATTAATTACAGAGTAACCATCTTTTATTTATTTATTTATTTTTTAATATATTTTATTGATTTTTTACAGAGAGGAAGGGAGAGGGAGAGAGAGTTAGAAACGTTGATGAGAGAGAAACATCGACCAGCTGCCTCTTGCACACCCCCTACAGGGGATATGCCCACAACCAATGTACATGCCCTTGACCGGAATTGAACCTGGGACCTTTCAGTCCGCAGACCGACGCTCTACCACTGAGCCAAACCAGTTTCGGCTAGATAACCATCTTTTAAAAAACCCATAAAATAAAATGACTTATAAGCTTTTTAATTTGGGCAAAAAATTCAATATTATCCTGTTATACATGAAGGTAATAATAATTCTGATTTTTAATGAATTTTCTTACAAAAAGAAAACAGCAGTAAGGAAATATGTGCAGGAGATACTAAGAGGAAAGCACAAATAAATAAGAGCAGTGTTAAAGATAAAGATGGGTTGTGAGTGGTTGCTTTTATGTTATGATAGGGAAAGATAAGGATTAAATAAGTTAATGAAATATTTGTTTGGAATCTAATTATAGTAACTTAGTGATAAGTTACTAATCTGACTAAAATATTTTATGTGTGTTATTACTGGCACAAGATCCTTTCAGTACCCTGCTATTTTCAGTTTTCTTTGATTAAATATCATCTCGTGACTCAAAACATGTCTCTGTGGACAAATAATATTACTTTGTTGATTCATTTTGTTGAAAGAAGAGAATATGGTGAAGAAATATGGCAAAGGTCATGATGGTAATTTGTCACTCAGCATGCCTCTTAAATTTCCACATAACAGATGATTCAAGTTTAGGCATGTTTTCTAAAATATATATAGGTAGAATTAAATGCTTTTTGGGCCATTTTCCAGGGAGTGTAGGCTAAAACATTTTCCATATATACACAAATAATTTATCTTTTATAGGGAAAGCTGAGTATTGAGATCTGTACACTTTGGCAAAACTTCCAGATTTTAGTAGTGAGCATGAATTATTAAGTGATACTAGAAAAGCATGGCTAGTGCTAGCCAACCTCTGTAGCAAATTGACAAATAGTCTTACAGTTTAAAAAATCTTGCCCTAGCCATGTGGCTCAGTTGGTTGAGTGTCATCCTGTGCAGTCAGGATACATGCCTAGGTTTCAGGTTCCATCCTGTATGAGTGGCAACTGATAGCTCTTTCTCTCTCTCCCTCTTCCTTTCTCTCTCTCTCAAATTAATAAAAACATGTGTTTTTTTTTTAATCTTAGGAAATGAGTACTTACATTCTTGAAATAATTCTTGAGCCTCAATTTAATAGTTGTACTTCATCAACCATTATTACAAAGTTAAGGTATTACTTAAGAAGCCCCAAATAGCTTAAGTCCAATAGAGCTATATCCAGATAAAGCAAATAGTTTTGTTACTTATTTATTACTTTTTTACTCAGCTGTGCCTTGAATAGTTCTGATAATTTGTAACTTTTCATAAGTTAACCAGTTTTTCATAAGCATTGCATAAGTATTATATAAGCCCCACCTGGGTCTGTCAGTAGGTTGAAGCATTGTCCCATGCACCAAAAGAGTTGGGGGTTTGATTCCTGGTCAGGGCACATACCTAGACTGTGGATTCCATCCCTGGATGGGGTGCATATGGGAGGGAACCATTGATGTTTCTCTCTCACATTAATCTATCCATCTATCCTTCCTTCCTTCCTTCCTTCCTAAATTAATAAACATATCCTCAGATGAAGATTTTTTTTAAGTATTGTACTTAATGTATTGTGTAGCTTTTAATGGTAAAGCAATTCTTTATCAAGTCAGGTTTAATTAACACCCATGATAAGCTCTCTGCAGTGCCGTGTTTATACCATGTTTATACTAAATTCATTAATTTTTAATTTTTGCTTTCTTTTAAGTTAGATAATCATTACATTAGGTACAGTTCATCATTAATAGTTTACATGATACTAAAACAGAAGCACAAAGGCAATCCTCAAAATATTCTAGGTCTTTTGATTACTTAAAGTAGCTGAAATAAGAAAACAATTGCAGGGATAAAAGAGTTTATCATTCCTTATTTTTTGTAAAGCCTTTTCTATTTACTGACTTTACTATGAAGTTAAGTACCTTTCCTTGGGAGATTTAAATCTGGATCAGACCTAGATCATCTTTTGTCTTAGATTGGGTTTCTTGAAAGCAGACTCTCAGATGAAAATTAGAGTATAGCAATTTACTAGGGAGGCCTTCAATGCCATGCAAAGAAAGGAAGCCCAATTTTCTTGGAAGTTGGACTGTGATGCAGTCTCAAAACCCCCGAGAATGAGCTCTGAAGCTGGGGTGATCCTCATAATTGTCTCAAGTTGGGGTAAGGAGAGCTGGACCTTTATATCCCCAATTATCTGACCGGACAGGGACTGGACCCAGAGCAGGTCTTCCTCAGGCGGGCCTGTAGTGTGTGGATTATTGACTTCCTGCAGGAAAGATTTCACATATGAATCCAGGTGATTTTGAGAGTATATTTCTTAATGCTGGGGACAGTGGAACAAAGGAAGGACTTAAGGGTAGAAGAAGCAACAGGAGAGAGCCTAGGTGATGCTCTGCTTTGGCTCCCTAGAAAGTGAGCCCCAAGACAGGGCAACTAATAGCTCACTGGGAAGTAAAAGGCACAGGGACGGAAGTGAGATAAGGCAGAGCTGCCGTTAGTTCACTGGAAAATCAGAGAAAAAGGGGGCTTAGGGAGACAGGTTCAGGTGGTAAGCTCAGGACGAGCTTTTGCTACCTGCTGCTCCCATGGTTGCAAATCTCGTGGAGAACCTTGGTGTTTAGGAGAAAAGAAGTAAAAAGTTCATGCCTGAGAAGGGGAATGGATGTGATCCAAAGAGTGCCCACCAGCATCCTTTTTCTTGAGGATTTTTATATCTCTTCTGGGGGCCAAAATCTTAGGGGAGGGTTTCAGTAGAATATTCATTAGCTTTCCAGGTGCATTTTAAATATGCTCATATATCAAAATGAGTGTATAGGGGAGTTTGGGATTATTTTCTGGTCAGCTTCACCCCTTTGCTTTTATCTTGTAAAGTCTGTCTGTCTGTAATCGAGTTTTTGATATTTGTTTCTCTGACTTCATTTTTGGGTTTGGCTGGCACAAATAGCATTAATTGGGTCTCTATGTTCTATCTCCCTAATCAGGATGATTTAAGCTATTCATTCCCTGGTCAGAGAGGAGAGGTATCAACCATTTGTTAAGTTGCCTTGGATAGGGAAAATAAGGTCTTGCTGATTCACTAGCTGGCTATAAATTGGTTAATTCGTTCAGCCTTATTTAATGATCTTGTCTCAGTTTCCACATTCTACTTGCCCATGAATTTTCCTAGCTGCTTATTATCCTGCCTCAATTAGATGCAAACTGCCTCAGAAATGTGTAATCTTGGGCCAAAAAGGCTATTTGAGCCCCTAAGAAGGCTGACAGCTGAGGGCTGTCTGCCAGCATTACTCCTTACAGTTAAGAAAATAAGCCCTTTGGTTAAAAAGGGGTTCGGGATGATGAATCACAGCATCCACTACAGTTATATTTATTGATTTATTCAACACACAGTGTGGGGCAAAAGGAGGTTTACAGTTGTAACTATATGAAGCAAAGTTTATCCTTGTATTTTTTTTTATTAATTATTGTATTATTTCCCATACCATGACTATTAAACCTACTTTTATCACACCCCAGTATTTTCTAGTAGTAAGTAATGAGTAAGGTAATTAACGAGTAGTATTTACTATTAAAGTTGTTTGAATCACAAGTATTAAGTATTTATTCCTTCTAATAAAAAAAAACAAAACTAGTTTATTCATTGATTCAACAAATATTCCCTACTGTTCTGGCACTGGAGGAGATCAAGTGAGAGAATAAGTACTTAGGTTGTTTTTAGATAAAAGATTTTGTTACAGTATACTATTTTGATTTCTTTCTAAGTTACCAAAATTAGATTGTAAGTATATTCTATTTTGCTATTTGAATATTTATGATTTTAAAGAATTTTATACATATATGTGAAATATATTCACATGTATTCTAAATATATTTTTTTAAATATAAATTATATATATATAGTTTTCTGACTCTTTGAGAGAGAAAGAAAAGCTTCCTTGAAATACCTTGTTGGGATTGGTTTTACTTATAATTTAAACATATTGATTAGGGTTAATATGTAGGAATACTCATGACAGGTATTTTAGTGTTTTATATTTTACTGTTTGAAAGTAAGTGATTAATAAGTAAAATTTCATATTAAATACTTAGGATCTTATTTTAGTTTTGGGGAACATACCTTGATAAATAGTTGAATATTAGTTCTCTCATTTTCTCAGTACTTCAAAATTCCTTTGTTTCACCAAAGATTTGGCAGTTTGTACATGTTTAAACTCTTTTTTTAAATAACTACTGTGCCTTTTAGAAACTTGCAGGGAAAAGTTATACTAACTATATACACTCCCAGTTGATAACTTTTATTTTTATTTTTAATCTTTTTAAAGATATATATTTTTATTGATTTTAGAGAAGAAAGGAGAGGGAGATAGAGATAGAAGCATTAATGATAAGAGAGAATCATTGATTGGCTGCCTCCTGCATGCCCCCTACTGAGGATTGAGCCCACAACCTGAGCATGTGTCCTTGAGTGGAATCGAACCTGGGACCCTCCAGTCTGCAGGCCAACGTTCTATCCACTGACCCAAACTAACTAGGACTAGTTGATAACTTTGGTAGTACTGAGAATTTCATAAAGAAATGTCCCAGTTTGCCTTAAGAAGGACATGTAGTCACTGGTGAATTTATAAATCTGCCTTGTAAATTTAGAAAGTCAGAAATAATATAAAATGTTAAAACAAAGAAGCTTTATATTGGAAGCTTTTTAAACTATTCATGAAGTTTATGAAAATATTTAAATTTTAGTATTAAGTCCATTGTAAAATTTTGGTTTATCATTTTGACCTATTATATTAATATTGAATCTAGACTTAAAACACTTTTATAGGAAATACTAGAAAGGAATTACACTTCCCTTGTGGTATAGACAGCATAAATTTTTTTTCAAGATTTAAACATGTGATACTAAATGTTGCTATTCCATGCCCTGTTTGGTCTCAGCTTAGCTGCTTGGAGGGTCTTGCTCCTTCTATAAAAATGATGGTGCCATCTTCAGTGTGCTACTTCCAATCTTCCTTGAAAGGAAGAGAGATCGTAGAGGGTCGTGTCAGAAGATTCAGAAACCAGGCCTAGAAATGCATACTTTACTCCTATCATATACTATGCTATGATTTTGAGAACCATTATCTTCTTGAGATTGCTTTACTTTCATCATGAGTACTAATGATATACTCTTTAAGAAAGACAGTATTTTCATTAAAAAATAGTAAGTTTTTACTGCATTCATTGAAAATATTAAAGCTCCTTTGCCTTGTTGAGTATGTGAATGGACTCACTAAATGGCTAACTATAAAACTATGTCATTGTTCTTTAGTAATACTTATTTAAAATCACAAATATTAGGTGTCTGCTTCATCTTATTCTTGAAGTGTTCAGGAGTTGGAAGCAGTAAAGAGAATTCTGAGTGGAAACATCCAGTGTCTTACAATAGGTTAATTGTCCAAAGCATAGTTTTCATCTATTGATTGCCATTTCAAAATTCTTTGCCAATTCCTTCAGTGTAGGATGAAGTCAGTGGACTAGCATTCCATGATTCTGCTGCAGATTGATCTTTACTTCTTTTTCCAAACTAAATTTAAACATTTGTTTAAAAGACAGGAATAGGATAATTGCTCTAGACTTTCCTGTTCAAAGGGGGAAAATGAGAAGCACAAAGGAGTCATTGGTCTGTAGTGATTTTGAAATGTGAACGGGCAAACCTTCATGGTTTTGATGAGACCTCAAGTTCTAGGAATAATTCTTTAGGATTCCAGGCTTTGCTCTCTGAGCTCTGGGTTCCTTGCCTCTGAGTCCTTTTTTTTACATGTTATGTGGCATGTGTTTGCAGCTGAGTAGTTTTCTCAGACTGCTTTCTGCCAGTAGAATTTTGTGGGTCCAATGGGCTCTTTTCATTTTTTATTGTCGCTGCTCCTGTTAGTCCACTTTGCAGTGTTTGCTGATGTATTCCTGTCAAAAATTTTGTCAGCCTCCTGTGAATCACACTGGGGTTTATTCCACTAGATAAAAGGCAATATCCAAGAATCTTTGAAAATGTGGGCTTCTGAGAGGTATTGAGGTACAATGCCCTCCAGCTTTTTAGAGGGCCTATTGTTTGTTTGAGAGCATCTATGATCTTTTTAATCTTTTCAAAGGACTTTTTGTGTAACATTAATACTATGAGGTACCACCCTCCATCTTTCTGGGGTCTTAATAGAAGGTTTTACAGTTGCCCCCTTGGCTATATTTTTAGGCCATGTGTGTCAGTGTCCTGGAAGCCATTCTTAACTTTAGTATTTTTACCATCTTAAGAGACTGAGACTGGTTCTTTTTTGTTTTAATAGTTCTTTAGATTATCTCTCTTCTCTTGCATTTTACTGTGAACAAAAAGAAAAAAAAAACAATAGGCAGCACCTGCAACACTGACTGCTTAGAAATCTTAGCTAGGTCATTCATATAGTTAAGTATATTTCCTACTTTCCATATTACTGAAGGGGATAGTGTTGCTAAGTTTCTACTACTACTTAACAAGGGTCCTTCAATTTCCAAAAACATTTTTCCTCATTTCCCTTTGAGCCCTCATAGGAAGCATACTAACAGTCTGTTCAAGGCAATTTAGACCTTCTCTAACATGCTCCTCAAAATCCTACCAACCTCTACCCAATGCCAAGTTCTAAAGCTACTCCCACATTATTAGGGCAGCATCCCACTTTCAGCTTTCAAAATTTGCTCTAGTTACCTCTTCCATTGTTCCAAATTATCCCAAAACTTAGCAGCTGAAAGCAACATTTATTGTCTTTACAGTCTGGACGGGTCAGAAATCTGGATGCAGCTTAACTGAGCTCTCTGCCTCAAGATCCCTCAGGAGATTGTAATTGTGGGCTCATTTGAAGATTCACTAAGGGAGAATCTATTTCCTAGCTCACTAAGTGTGATTGTTGGTAGGATTCAGTTCGGATCCTGTTAGATCAAGCATATCAAACTCACGGCCAGCAGGCCACATGCCTCATTTATTTAAACAAGGCATGCGGCATTGGCAGCGAATTTATTTATTTTTTAAAATATATTTTATTGACTTTTTAGAAAGGAAGGAAGAGAGATAGAGTTAGAAACATCTTTCAGCTGCCTCCTGCACACCGCCTACTGGGGATGTGCCCGCAACCAAGTATATGTCCTTGACTGGAATCGAACCTGGGATCTTTCAGCTCACAGGCCAATGCTTTATCCACTGAGCCAAACCAGTCAGGGCCAGCCTCAAATTTAACATGCTTGTGTTAGATGGAGGCATCTTTGAATTCTTTGCTTGTGAGCCTCTTTCACAGGGCAGTTGGCAACATGTCTAGCTGGCTTCCATCATAGCAAAAGATGGCTAGCAAGAGAGAAACCAGAATCTGTAACTTAATCTTGGAAGTAACATCCCATCATTTTTGCCCTATTTTCTTTGTCAATAATAAATCATTAGGTCCAGTTCACACATGAGGGGAGGAAATTATACAAGGACTTGAGAGGCAGGGATTATTGTAAGCCATCTAAGCAGCTGTATAATCTTTGGCCACTATTTGCATGTGATGGCGAATCTACATTTCCTGGAAATTAGAAGAGTATCTAGAACACACCAGTGAAATAATATTTACATAACACATTTAACAGTTTCTTTACAACCTTATAACCTACTGAAACTTGAAAATAATTTTATGAGCTTAACTTCATACAAACCACGTTTTGTTCCCATACAACTGTAACTGGTGTTCACATTCTACCATGAAGTATGATGGAAAATAGGACTTTGAAGAGATTTTTGTTATCAAAGCACATCTGACTATTGGGAAAATTAGTTATGTGCTCTTGAAATGAAATAAATGAGTTTACTTACCCTAGATTAATATTAAGGTAAATATATATATATATATATTACTTTTAAGTGTAGTTTTTGAATCATTGTAGAAGAGGTAATATTGCTTATACCTTCAGTATAGTAAATATGGGTAGTATGGCTTCAGAGTAATTATAATACGAACATACACATGAAGAAAAATATCCTACTATTTTTGGTATTGGAGAAAGGGGACTGGGAAGAATGGTTGCAATATCCTATACCTGGAAAATATATTTTCATTTAAAGATGGAAACCTTTGAAGCTTTTTTCTTAGTCATAGTTCAATGGATTCATTATTCCTGCCCCAAACCTCTTTTAACTCTTGGAACAGAAACCACTTTAACATATAAGCATGACATACTGGCCTGAAAAATAATTTTTTTTCATAGATTATTTTAGCAATATTTGATTCAAAACTTGACTTTGTGTAGTCTGATAATTACAGTAATATTTAGGTTGAAAATGCATAGTCAGTGTATTTAAGTAATATTTTCTTTTTTATCGTTTACATTATTATTGATATCCCCATTGCTCTCTTTCTGCCCGCCTCCCCTTACCTCTGTCCAACACCAAACTGTGTTCTGTGTCTGTAGGTTATGCATGTATGTTCTTTGGCTATTCCCTTCACCTTCTTTCATTTAATTTTTTTCATTTATGGATTTTAGAAATATGATGTTTCTTTCACATTTACCAGAATGTATGGTGGTATATTTTGTAGTTATGCTAAAAAGCTTAAAATGGAGTGGAGGAAGAGTGTGTATAGATGCCTAAAACTTTTTATTTCAGAGTTGCAACTAAATCTCTGTTGTGTGATACTGAGAAAAATTGCCAATGACAAAAACTGTTTTTAAATAACATTGTGGATATCCAGCCATGTTTTAGTATACATAGTTTCTTTCTAGATTATTCCTAATATATGAAATTGTCTTTCGTTTTCTCTCTTTTACAGGTAATATAACATTACAAAGCAAGATGGGTAATATCACAGTAGGTATGTGCTAAGATGTTAATTGGTAAATTTTGCATGCTTTTTAAAATGACTATATTTGTGGTATTTTTCTTAGGGTAAATAAAGTCTAAACATGTTTAGGGCCACCTTAATTATGATTTTCTTTCCCTGACTTAAGGTATCTGTTCAATTCCAGAAACTTGAAGAAAATTTAGATATAAACGAGCTTCACTCACTATTCAAGTGCTTCCCTCCCCGCCCCCCTGCCCACATTTCTGTCTCTCTCAGAAATGCAATAAAACCTTATATAGAGTAATGTTTCACTCTGACCAGAAATTTGATAAGAAGAGAAAATATGAGATTTTAATTTTTGTTAACTTTGCTACTACCTATATGTTGACTGTACACAAGATATAATTCTTTAGTAAAAATTGAAAGTTGATAATAAACTAAATGTGCCAATGATGCTTAATGATGTTGGCTGTCAACGATTCATTGCTTGGGTACTGTCCTTCCTACACATTACGTTTTACAATAAACATGTTTAGACAGGGTGCCTCAGATGTTTAGAGATAAGTTATGCAGGTTACTGTAGTCATAGGGATTTTTTATTGTCTGGGTGTATAATTTTAGATTTCTGTTCCTGCTTTCATTTTAAAGCAGAAGATGGCATAGTTATAAGAATTTATAAAACCTTGCAAGATTCTTAGCTTATTATCCTAATACTAAAGCAGAGCTTTTTATTTCAAGTTTGTAATTCCAGTTATTCAAATAAGAATGATTATGCTTATAGCTTTTTTCCTTCCTCCTAGACTCATCCTCTGGATGTCTAAAAGCCTCAACTCATCAGGGTGCCTTAGATGTTTATGTCAGCCAACTGGGGAAGGTGGAATTGAAATCCCATAAAGGTTAGCCAAATGGAATGTTTTATTTTGACATGTGGTGTAAGGAAGGTTTTACATAACATTCAGGAAACAGATGGTCAATTTATCTTATCTGTGGTACTGACATAATGATTTCAAGAGCATATCTTTAGATAAAAACTGATTTAAAGACTGGAATACTACTTTGTAGACCAATGATCTTAGAAACACTGGGGACAGATGGCCATGAAGACTGACTTTCCCTTTGTAGTTCCAACAAAAATGTTATAATATAGTGATTCACTATTATAAAAAGTTTTAGTGTTAGTGTTTTTCAATTTAGCTTTATGTCTGAAATATAATATTCTTTGGAAAATGCTCTCTTTGGAAGCTTTTCTACAAGTCAGTACGTGGACCTTCTGTGGCCATCACTCTAGAACACATGTGTCAAACACAAGGCCCGCGGGCCAAATCCGTCCTGCCAGGCCTTGCAATGTGGCCCGCACCGCGCTGTCATCACTGCACTCCACTGCGTTTCCATCACAATGACAGTTTATGACTGTTCAGTAAACCATTCGGCCCGCGATTTAGGCTGGATTTTAGATTTTGGCCCCTTCTCTGATTGAGTTCGACACCCCTACTCTAGAATAATGATTATTTTCAAAATGTGATCCTGAAGTAAAGGTATCACCAGAAGGGGCTTCTAAAGTGATTATTAACTTAATCTCTTGAAGTATCAAGACTTATTATGTGGCCCTGGCCTACTAGCTCCAATAGGCCAAGGTTGTAGATTCCATCTCCAGCCAGGGCACAAAAGAAGCAACTAGTGAATGCATAAATAAGAGGAATAACAAGTTGATTTCTCTTTCTTTCTCACTCTCCCGCTTTCTCCCCCTTTCTCTCCCTGTTTCCTCATTTTTTTCTCTCTCTAAAATAAATAAACAAACAAACAAATAAATAAATGCTTATTTTGTTTTTCTGTCTATAATCTTATTTCAAATAACTTATTCTAAGCGTCCAGCTCTTTCATTAAAAGTGGTACACTTTTTAGTCATATGAAGACTGTACATGAGCATGCACATAAGCATGCTGGCAAGTGGCTTGGGTACTTGGAGTAACTTGGCCATAGGGCTGAAGTGTCCTGTGCAGAAAGTTAAGAACCATAGCTCTGTATAAAAAATAAAAAAAAACTTTTAAAAATAAAGTCTAGAAGCTCTTGTATATTGGCCAGAACAGGGCTATGTGTATAACAAGGAAAATACTTCCTTACAAAGACCAGTTGTTCCTGCAGTTGGTAATTTCCCACATTGGTTTAATCCTTTTTTTTTTTTTTTTTTTTTTTTTTTTTTTTTTTTTTCCAATGAGGCTTACTTGTCAGAGTGTCAAAATAAAACTACAATTACAGAGGTCTGAAACTGAAGTTACTGCTGACACACAGATGTGATTTGATTTCTCAGGATCAATTTTTTTCCTTTAAATCATACCATGTTCTAGCTAAATTTCTAAGAGCTTCATTAATGCTATTCAGTGTATTTTGTGAGTGCCTTAAAAGTCATATAATTGCATTTGAAAAGGAGAAGAAAACCTACAATGATTGCATTTAATGTAACTAGTAACAGAGTAAAAGCTCTTACACTGAAAGTTTTTTCCTGTTGTGTATGGATGGCAGAAAAATAAAAACATTGTTAATCTTCATCCACTCGAAATATTTTTCAGTGTTATTTAAAATGTTGATTAGGATTACAATTTTGTGTTTTCTCCGACTGAAACCATGTTACTGGCAGAAGCTTAAAAGATAACTGGAAACAAAGATTTCTATTTTATTTTAGGTCTCTTTAATTCTCACTAATTTGGCAACAGTGACTTTTCAGAGTAATAGAAACTTAGTTGGGATTCTGTTGCTTAATGGTTAGTAAAGACATCTGGAATCCTTTCCAATTCTACCACTGTCTTGCTATAGGGTTCAAGAGCCACCTGAGTGTCCTAGTTTTTCAACATTTGTCATGTGAAAAAGAATATTATAATGCTTATTTTCTCTCTCCCTATGAATATCAACATGGGAACTTACTAATTCATTCAGAAAGTCTGAGTTTATGCTTGAGAATCAGGCCTGCATCTGAATACTGACTTTTATACTTAAAATTTGTCCTTGACAAAACCACTAATCTCAATATAGTATGCCTTCAATAAATGGTGCTATTAGTATTAGTTTTAATACTACTGAATTTTTTAAAGAGTGGTATTGATGTTGGTAAACATGAAGCAGTTTATAAAGTGAAAAGAGGTTGAAGATATAACAACTTTGCTTTCTAAAAACAAAACAAAACAAAACCCAGATTGTGTTAAAGAGGGAACATTTGGAAGTTTTCAAGTCATGAGAATTCTTCATTTGCAAACAGTCATGGAGTATTGGTAGTGATGGTTTGCTTTTAAAGGGTGTATGGAGATGGGGGTGATGCTGTTTGCATTGCTTAACATTTTTAAAGCTCACAGATTTACGATCCCTTTATTCATTTAAGAACAGAAAAAAATTATCACATTTGATGTATTTAGAGATACAAAGTCCCCAGAAAGTTTTTAAAGTTTGTTATTTTCTTTTTAAAGTATGTTTGATAGATAAACATTTTCCATTCATCTGGAAAATTTTCAGGATTGTTTTTTCCCTAAAGTGCTCATGTTAATTGTTCTGGGGAATCTCTTTTCAGTAGTTTACATTTAAACTTTGAAAAGCAATTTGTTTTTTAAATAAAATAAACCAGTTTTAGTGATGTGCTTTGTTACCCCCTTTTTTGCAGGAGTATATATTTGAGTTCATCAGTTTTATCCCACACTTGCAGCTCTAGTTAGGAAGGCTAACAGGATATGAAATTACCTACGGAAACTTAAGCTGATGTTAGCCAAACTAGGAGGCAAACAATGACCCATAAATAAATGCATTCTAGAAAGAATCTTTAAAATATTCACCATGGATGTCATTCTGACTATCTTGTTCACAGAGCTGAGGTTAATGTTTTATGGCAGGGCCTCTTTTTTGAGATATGAGAAACAGAGAAAGAAAAAGTTCTGAAAGAGAACTCTGCGAATGAGTTTGTACTGCAACCCACGTCATTGTTTCAAAAATGATTCTTTAGCTAACAGGATACTTTTTCTTATTTCTTCCTTTAGATGCTTGAATTACTGCAAGATTATAGAGAGAATAAAGTTGAGTATCTTGCCCTAGGTACCCAAAGACTATAATCCATTGAAAAGAAACAGTTAAAATTCAAGTATTCTATTTTTTTTTATTGTTATCCCCCTGGCTCCTACAAGGTATAACTGAAAGCATAGGACTTCAAGGTTCTAGTAGTTGTGTTACAGTGGTCATTGCGGTTACAAGTTTTGTAATTCGATGAGGTCGCATAGCAGTGTGTGAAATCCCACAGTGGTTAAGAGCATGGGCTTTGTTGTCACTGAACTGGATCTAGATTCTAACACTATCTCTAATGGGAACTTTAGTTCTCATCTACAAAATGAGGATTATAATAATACCTCATAATGTTGGTATGGAGATTTAAAGAAATAATGAGATATATTATACCTTAATAAATACTCAATTAATGATAAATCCTTTCTACAAGCTTCATGTATAATAAACCACTCACTTTTCTGAGATGAGCATTTTTGGCAAAAGAAATAGTTCACACTGTTCTAGTAACTCATACTTTTGACAGAAGTTACTGTGAATGTCTTGCGAGTAAGAAAACGTTGACACCCCCGACCTCCATGAGTAAGGAGAAGACTGTACCAGCAGCAGTGCTACCCATTCATTAATTTTTGTAATAGGCTCTGGTGCTTTTGATTTCTTTGCATTAACAAGCTTTCTTATAAACGTATTACAGGCTCTGTTCTTGTCAAAGTCCCATCTTCTCTTCAAGTTCATTTACAGTTATCAGGAAAAGAGGTCAATGTGAGCTCAGAAGTCGATGTTCAAGAGATGGCCAAAACTCATAAAGATGATGGTGTAATAATTACTGGTAAGGAGGCTACATTTTACTGTGTAAGATGAATAGTCATTGTCCATACATAAATAGAAATATGCTGTGCTTAATTTCAGTTTTAGTCTTTTATTCTTCTCCATTGTCACATTTTGGTGTTTTGATACTTTTCTCCCCCCTGCTGATTATGCAGACATTTTGTTTGGGATACTCACCAGTCCTATTACTGGTTACAATTGATTAAAAATGTTTTATCTTGAAGAGATATTTGCTTACCATGTTTATAGCAGCATTGTTCACTGTAGCCAAGAGGTAGAAGCAACCCATATATCTATTGATGGATGAATGGATAAATGAAATGTGGTATATATATTTCATACAATGGAATTAAAAACGAAGAAAGGCCTGTCATATGTTACAACATAAATAAACCTTGAAGACATGCTCAGTGAACTCAGCCAGTTATGAAAAGACAACTACTGTATGATTTCACTATATGAGATATCTAAAGGACTCAGATTCATAGAAACACGAAAGAAAGAGAGAGGGAGAATGGGGAGCTATACAATGGGTATAGAGTTTCAGTTTTGCAAGATGAAAAGTTCTGGAGATCTGTTGCACAACAGTGTAAATATACTTAACCACTACTGAACTGTAAACATAAATATGGTTAAGATGATACATTTTATGTTATGTGTTTTTACCCCAATTTAAATTTTTAAAAATTATTAAAAACATTTTTTCCTGGCACTACTGCTTTCTAATTCTTGGACTTAAAAATGAATTTAAATACATATAAGGCAGGATTTAAAGTTAACTTTGTAAGATTAGAATAAGTAGGAATTTGGTTTGGTATTATGCACTTCGAAAACTTGTTTGTTTAGTATAACAACTTCTCAGTCCTAGAAATGTGAATAGCTTTACACATTTTTCCTAATTACCTCTGGCTGTATTGATCACTGATACTACTTTTAAAAGTATTTATTGTATAGATAATACATACACATACTTAAAAAAGAAAAACAACTTAATGCTGGTGAGGTTTTCCTTTAAATCTTAGCAGTATAAAAAAAAAAAAAGGAAAGTGTGTGGTGGCGCTGGCTGTGGGGTGTCTTCATAAGAACAAGCTTCAGTTTTAAACATTTTTTGCATGTTAAGAAAGCTGTCTGTTAGAAGTCATAGGATATTAACAAAAGTCATAATAGTAATAAAAATGATTCCCCTTACACTCTCAGATCTAAATCATTGCATTTAATGGGCAACTCTTAGTTACATGATAAAATTTAAGTGTATTAAATATGATAAGAATCAACTTCTTATGTTCTAATATCAAGTTTGATAAGCAGCCAACAGAATTATCATTTTTTGCACCATAATCTAAAAATAATACAAATTTGTTTAACAGTGTTCCAAATGATGGTGTAATCAATTATTATATATATGTTAAGAATGTTTGAATTATAAATTAAAGTTAGTTTGTCATTTTTTATTCTGTTACTCATAAATCATATGAGTAATTTAGATTTCATTTTAACTCCATTTTAAAGTCCCATTCTCATCACTTCAGCCATTATATCATTTAAGAACACTTACTAGTTCTGTCATTGGATAAAATCGGTATCTGCAGACCTGGTCTTTTTATTAACTTCTTGCCCATTTCTACTCTACTAAACCAACAACTTAATATATTTAAAAACAAACAGTATCTTTCCCTAGTCTATCTCTTCTCCTGCTGTCTTCTGTATTTTCCTTCACTTGGTCAGTCAATCACACAACAAGCATTTATTGAGTCAGGCACTATGAGAAACTAGGAGTGCAAAGCTGACAAAATATGGTCTGTCTGCCATCAGAGGAGCTTATATTCTAGAGAGGAAAAATAAATCAGTGAATGCAATAAAGTGGGAAAATATTGCAATAGAGTTATGTTCAGGGTACTGTAAGAGCATGTAGGTGACACATCTAAATTAGACTAGCATTGTGAGTTTAAGGAAATGAGAGCCACACTCCAGTGTGGCTAGAGTACCGACGTAAGTGGAAGAGTGTCATAAAAGGAGGCTGGGAAGTTGGGAATGGGGTCAGATCACATTGGGCTGATTTGAATTTTATGCAAAGTACATTGCCAAGACAGTGAAAGGTTTTAATCTGGGGTTCACATAGTCATATCTGTATATTAGAAAGATCACTGAATGTTGAGTGGAGAAAGCTAAGAGAAGACAATGGTGGAATGAACAAAAAGCTAATTAGCAGCAGGTTACTGCAGTAATTCAGGAGAAAGATTCAGTGGCCTGGACTCCACAGTGATCTGTTAAATTCAACATGTAAATTAACCTTCAATAAATTTTGGCTAAAGAAATAGATAAATGGATGCTATTAGGAAAATGCATGCTTATCCCATTGGTTATCATGAAGCTTCTCAGTCTATTTAGTTCTTTTTGTGTGTTATTTGTTATTATGTCTTACACTCTGGCCCTACTTAAACCAAGAAGGTTCAAATTGCAGAATAAATTTTATTTCTTGTTCATAGTACAAGACTCTATGCACTGATCAGCAGACTTCTTTTGTACTGTTTGGTGCCCAAAAGGCCACAGACCTTATTAGCAGAGAAGGAAAATAAAAGTTATAACTCTATTCCATATATTGGAATAAAGTTAAGACATGGAAAATATTAAAAAGGCCAAAATTGAATTTCTAGAAACAGAACTGAAAACTAAAATGTCTGAAATGAAAAATTCAGCAGCTGGGATTAGACATAGAGGATTTGAGGAAGAAAACGTCTCTCCAAGAATATTTCTTGGGCAAAATTGGTTAATGGTATACTTGCTCAAAACCTAGAGTATGATTATCTTTGTTATTATTTCAAGTAATTGAGAGAAAAATACAATGATAGGCACCATTAAAACTAGCTCAAAATATTTTGCCAGTAAAGATTTGTTGTCAAGATATCTTGGTTTGCATTTCTGTCGAGAGAACTGTAAACAGTTAAACAATATTGACAACATTGGTTATGGAACTGTGTGTGGTATTAGAGGTTTTGTTTGTGAAATACATGCATTAAAATAATTAGATTTCAGCATAATTATTTTCATGTTGTTTTAGAAGTGTATGATTTAGTTTTCTAACCAGCTGGTAAGCTTTTTGAGGGTGCTAACATGTCTTTTTACATCTTTGACCATCCCTGAAATACTTAGCATGGGGCTTCCCATTGTGGGTGGTCAGTAGAGTTTACACTGTTAAAGAGGGAATCCTCCAACTATGATGCACTGAAGTTTATTCTGGGGCTAATAAGACAGCACCAAGATTATTCCTCTGAATCAAAAAAATGTAAATAAACAAAGTCTGTGATAGGGTTTGGGGAAGAGGGTGCAAAAGCTCATCTCAGTCAAGAAGCTTTTCAAACTTATTTTAAACCAGAGAGCTAAATTATGCAAATTATTCCTCAGGGCCCCATCTTTATCCACAGCCAGTGCTGATTAGATCAGGCACATTCATGGTTCATGGCTAACACTTTTCAACTAGGCATTTGAGGAAATAAATAAATTTGGAGATCTATATATTTGGGTAGATTTGGACAGAGCAAATTTAGAGTGCAAATGCTAGAGTTTAAAAATGTCCTAAGGGGAAACTTTTCTCCCCATTTAATGGAAGCCATACAACGTGGGGATAAGGTGGGCATTTTCCATTTCTTGGTCAAATAAACATTGTCTGATTTTCATTGGCAAAGGCATTTAAATAAGGAACAAGGTTTTTATAAGCCCAAGTTTCCATATGTGTTACAAGATTTTTTAAGAAAGGGATTTATAAACTTTACAAATTAGAGTCTCCACAGATTCAGGTCAAAGTATTAAAGGCTTTTAGTAAAATACTGTTTGGCAAGATAGAGAAATCTATTTTAAGAAACCTACATGGAATTTTGTAAATTACCTTATTTTTTTTTTAGTATTATCTCTAAGCTAAAATCGCTTGTGTGTTCATTTTGTTGGTAGCAGCAACACCATGTGTGGCCTCTGCTGCTGCAGGGGAAATAGGCAGATTAGCTTCTTTCTCCATAAGCAAGAAAATGCATTATTATGAAGGTGACAAATAATATATAAGGAAAAAATTGTACATATTTGGGAAAAACTTACTATTTTTTATGCTTTGCCTATTGATGCCAAATAGTGTAAAAAATAATAAATTTAGAGAACCAATGTTCAAGATTTTCTGTCCTTTTTGTTTATTTGAATCACTAGGAAAAAATTGGTATTATAGAAAACTACTGGGTGCAGCTACCTCAAAATCCTGACCTACTGAATGCAGGACAGGCATAAAAAGAACAAATTCAAACTGACAGAGCTGAACCCCTTAATGATGAAGTTAGGGGGAAAGAATAGCTTCTAATACAAGGATTTACTAAAAGGAGTCATAATAGTATTAAAAATATAGCAAAAGAAGTAGAAGGAAAAACTCTAGAGGAAGTCATCGAATACTTAGCTGTGTTCTGGGAGGATACAGTGACCCCTCTAAGACATAAATAAAATTATGGCCCAGGTTAAATAGGAGATGCAATAATTCAGAGAAGAATTTGTATCAAAGAAGCACTTAACACAATGATTGGATGGTACAAAGCACCTTTTCATTAGCTAAGAACATTATATGGTACCAACAAAGGGAAAAAACTTTACTAAAGGAAAGTATTGCCTGATTCGTATGCTTGGATTTAACAAAAAACATTTATATGATGAATTGAAATATTTACAGTTCCTCAGTTCAGATTTGACTTGGTTCTTAAGGACAGAATTGCAATGGAGTGCCAGAGGTGATTACCTTGATGGTGAGAAAAAAAACATAGAACTGCAAGAATTGAGATGGAAAATGAACAACTGAACTCTCTGATTGCCACAGCCTATTACCCTGAGAGAATTTCCAGGCCCCAGGGCACAGAGGGGTAAGAGCCAGAGCCAAAAGATTCCATAGAGGAGGGGGACTGAGCTGAGCATCTAGGGCAAGCATGCAAACTCAAAGGCTAACATGGGCCAAATAAATGAGGCATGTGGCCCAGGGGCTACGACTTGGACATGCTTGATCTAAGGAGACCAGGGCTGTTGGAGTTCACAGGAGAGTTCTAGAGAGTAGGCAGCTGTTAAGGGGGCCCATTTAGCAAAGTACTGATCACTCTGTGTGTGAGGAAAATATCTAATGCTTCCTACAATGGGAATGAACTTCAAAATAATTATGCTGAATAAAAGAACCCAGATTTTAATTAAAGTATGATTACATATACTGGTAACCTTTATAACCCTTTCCCAACTCTATCACAACTAAGATTTTTTGCTGTTCCAAAGCATTTTGGTTTTAAAGATATATTGTTAGGATTTATGTAGTCAAATTTGCTATTGTCATTCAAGATATAATTTTATGCATTTTGTGTTTCAGGGCTCATGAATCAAGGAAGCAAACTTGAAAAATGGATTAAGGCTGATGCCCCAAAAGGCACTGTAAGTTTTAGAAATCAAAGCTGGTTTCAGTCCCTGAAACTGCAAGACTGAATGGTTTGAGCCTGGCCGGTGTAGTTTAGTGGTTGAGCATCTGCTTATGAACCAGTAGATCACAGTTTGATTCCTGTTCAGGACACATGTACAGTTTTAGGCTCGATCCCCAGTAGGTGTGCAGGAGGCAGCCAATCAATGATTCCCTCTCATCATTGATATTTCTATGTCTCCCTTTCTTTTTTTAAAAAAGGAATAGTTTGAGTTGTATTTATAATTTTAATAATTAGTACATCAACAGCTACAAAAATGCAAATTTCACTGTTCATATATTATAAATATTGAAAATAACAAATTGAATGAGTACTGAATTGTGGTTTGTTTGTTTTTGGGGGCTGTCAAAATTTGTATTTACCTGATGTTTTAGTTTTCTTATTGCTCTGTAAAATACTACTTACAAACTTACCGACTTAAAATAACACCCATTTATCAGCTCACAGTTCTATAGGTCAAGAGCCTGGTTAGATTCTCCATTCAGGATACCCATCAGGCTGAACTCAAGATGCTGGCTGGACTTAGTTCTCATCTGACTGCTCTGGTAAAATAAAATAAAATAAATCTTCCAAGCTCATTCTTATTGGTGGCAAAATCTTGTTCCTTGTGACTAAATGAGGCCTCCGTTTTCTTGCTGTCAGTTGGCATTTGCTCTTAGCTCCTAGAGGCCAACTATATCCCTTCTCATGTGGCCCTGATCATCTTCTAGGCAGCAGTGATGCATTCAGCCTCTTCCGCAGCCATGTGAGAGAACTCTGCTATTAAAAGGCTCACTTGATTAGGTCAGGCCTATCCAGGATAATCTTTGTTTTGTCATGTAATATAGCGTAATTATGGGAGTGATGTCTCACCATATTCACAGTTTCCACTCATTCTCAAAAGATTATACAAAGACATAGGTAATAGGGGGAAGGGAGAGGGGAAGGTGAACTATTGGGTCGGCAACGAAGTAATTGCGGGTTTCACACATATATGGCTTCAGTTGAATTTTTAGGTTTGCAGACGTAGTACAAATGTAAAACACATTTTGTTATTTGATAGCTGCCTATTCAGCTGTTAATCAGTAAAAAAAGTTTTTTGATCTGTTTTGTAGTTTTTGTTTGGCGTTCGTTGAAAAATGGAAAATCAAAAGGAACATTTTCGTCATATTTTGCTTTTTTATTTCCGCAAAGGGAAAAACCCATCGCAAGCTCATAAAAAGTTATGTGTTGTTTATGGTGACAAAGCCTTAAAAGAACGGCAGTGTCAAAATTGGTTTGCCAAATTTCGTTCTGGTGATTTTTCACTCAAAGATGAAAAACGCTCTGGTCGTCCAGTTGAAGTTGATGACGCCCTAATCAAAGCAATAATCAATTCGGACTGTCACAGTACAACACGTGAGATTGCAGAGAAGCTTCATGTATCACATACATGCATTGAAAATCACTTAAAACAACTTGGCTATGTTCAAAAACTCGATACATGGGTTCCTCACGAACTGAAAGAATCACAGTTAACGCAACGCATTAGCAGCTGCGATTTGCTAAAGAAACATAATGAAAATGATCCATTTTTAAAACGACTGATAACTGGCGATGAAAAATGGGTTGTTTACAACAATATCAAGCGGAAAAGATCGTGGAGCAGGCCAGGTGAACCAACTCAAACAACATCAAAAGCTGATATTCATCAAAAGAAGGTTTTGTTATCAGTTTGGTGGGATTACAAAGGAATTGTCTACTTTGAACTCTTACCACCCAACCGAACGATCAATTCTGATGTCTACATTGAACAACTAACGAAATTAAACAATGCAGTTGAAGAACTATTTCAGAATTTTTTGTACCATAGCTCTTATGTAATGTTTTTTACTTATATTTATTATGACAGCAAAGTAAATTTAAGTTGTGAATAAAACACATCATAAATATGATGTAATTGCTACTGATTTTTCATTTATTTTGTGTAATTTAAGACATAACTTGTTAGTGGAAGAGAAACATTCAACTATTTTGAAGAAAAACGGTGTGTATTATATGATGCTATTTTATGAATTCTCGTTCTTTCAAACCTTATTTGTCTACTCCTAGAGCATTTAAATTAACACTGAAAGACTAGTAGAATAGATTTTTTTTTTTATGATTAGGATACATCAGTTCTTAAACACTAATTTCTGATATACCTTTCCAAATAGTGTGATTTATAATAGTCTCTCTTTTTTAATATTTTACTTATTTATAGTTGTCTGTTTTTTAACTTACTTGTGAAACAAAGTTTGCTTTGTGGAATATCTCCAAGTCTCCATTTAGTTTACCCTTTGTGAAATCAAAATTAGTATAAGTTTGGATGATATATGTTAGTATGTTTGATGTGGTTGTGGTGTGTGTGTGTAATAAGTAGAGGATACAGAGAGTCAATGAGACAATTTTTATCCTTTTTCACTCTCATGCCATTATATAAGCATTTTCATGACTAAAAATAAAGTTTATGAACTTGGTCAACAATTGCCAAAAAGGTCATGAGCATAACATTAGTCAACTGTATTTAAAATTATTAAAAGAATTATATATAATTTGGATCACATAAGTCTAAACAGAAAGGGAAAGCTTCCATATTTTGCTCTCTTAAACACAGACTGATAAATATCAAATGCTTAAGAGCTGAGACCTAAGAAACAATTTGGATACCCTGAGGACCTTGCACTGAGAACTTGAAGATTTCACCCCTTCACTCTACTTCTTGATCTCGTTTTCATAATCAACTTTTTTCTAACACCTACACCTTTTCTTTCATTTCTGTAGCTATAAAGTTTGTCTTCCCATGAAGAACAAATGTCACTCCTGTTCTTTTTATTGATTTTTTTTTAGAGAAAGAGAAAGCGATAGGGAGAAAAAGAAACAGATATTAGAGCAGAATATGGATTTGCTGCCTGCTGCACACCCCCTACTGGGGATCAAGCTGGCAACCCAGACATGTGCCTTACCAGGAATTGAACCACAAACTTTTGGTTCATGGGAGGACACCCAGTCAGCTAGCCACATGACCAGGACTCTCTTGTTATTTAAAAGAGGATCTTGGTCAAAGAGTTTTGGAGTTAAACACCCTGCTTGGTTACTAGAGAACATAACAGGGTGTGTCAATCCTTACTCTGGTCTTCCCCGTACAAGTATTATTGCTGAAGAAAGCTGCAATAGGTCTCTCCAGTGGTGTGCTTGAAACATTTAGGGGTTAGAAGCCAACTTTTTAAATTAAAAAAAAAAAGTATTTTATTGATTTTTTACAGAGAGGAAGGGAGAGGGAGAGGAGAGAGAGTGAGAAACATCAATGAGAGAGAAACATCGATCAGCTGCCTTTTGCACACCCCCTACTGGGGATGTGCCCTCAATCAAGGTACATGTTCTTGACCAGAATCGAACCTGGGACCCTTGACTCCGCAGGCCAACATTTTATCCACTGAGTCAAACTGGTTAGGGCTAAATTTTTTTTTTTAATTGAGAGAAAGAAACACTGATTTGCTGTTTCACTTATTTATGCATTCATTCATTGTCCCTTGTATGTGCCCTAAACAGGGACCAAACCCACAACCTTGAATTATTGGGACAATACTTTAATCAATTGAGCTACCCAGCCAGGGCAGAAGCCAGCTATTTTGTAGCTGCCAGAAATCTCCAAATGTAGTTTAAAAATTACCATCAGAACAATCATCTTAAATCTTTTGGCTCAGGTCTTAAAACTTCCTATTCAACTGATTCCCCTGCTGTCCACTTTCAGGAACCATTTCTACAGCTAAGTGATGTTACTTAATTTCAAAAACTTTCAAAATCAAGCTAAAAGGGAGAATTATTAAAACTATTATATTTAGCTAATAAAGATTACCCTACAGTAATACCAGTTGAGCCCTTTTAAAAACTTTTCAAAATAATTCATATCCTTTTCCTTAAATATTATCCTTCAAATTTGTGGGATACAAAAGGATAGTGATGAGCCCCACTTAACAAATAAGTAACAGAGGAAATAGGCTTAAAATACTGATCTAATATTACTGACACAACTTCTTTGGGGCAATCAGAACAGTGTGCTTTCCCCTGGACTCTGAATATCAGTCTACATGATATTAAATAATGTTATAAATGATCTATATCTCTTAGCATAAAATTGGGAGAGCACCCTTTTTCGGATAACATAGTTTTAAAATATTCCTTTTGTGCAAATCTGATTAAAAAGAAATTTATCTGAGACATTGCAGGGACATTCACAGATAGTTCCTGCTTCAATTTAATTTGCTCCTAGCAGTTAAATTAGTTGTTGAGATGAATCGATCATTTGGCACTCAGAAAGCCTTATTGCCTCTAAAAATGTATGTTGCTCACCTGGCGTGGCTCAGTGGTTGAGCCCCAACCTATGAATCAGGAGGTGCCATGTTTGGTTCCTGGTCAGGGCAGATAACCAGATTGCAGGCTCGATCCCCAGTGTGGGGTGTGTGGGAGGCAGCAGATCAATGATTCTCATCATTGATGTTTCTCTCCTCTTTTCCTTTCTGAAATAAATAAAAATGTTTTTTTTTAAGTGTATGTTTATGTTTTTTACAATAAAGCTTCACAGATCCTTAAAGTCATTTGCCCTGGTTCCATCTCTCTGGTTTATGAGGCCACCTCTGCTTTCTTTTCTAAAGAAAAGCTTCTAAATTTCTTGTAAAAAAAATATTACATATCAGTATTTCATATAACTATAACCTCAGATTTTATAATCTCATCAAACTATTGGTTTGATTAAGGCAAATTTACATGGAAAACTCATATAGCAGCAATACTTGATTTGACTTTTTAAAAATCATGATTATTAGACAGAAGATTTAATGATGTATTTAAAAACATTTATAGTTGGAATAAGAATTAGGAGATGATTTGCTGCTGTTTATACAATTGAGATCCAGCTAATAAAAATATTTGCATCAAATGAAATCACCAAATTCTAGATTTTTTGTTTTTCTGTTTGAGTTGAAGGTTATACTACTCTCTTCACTATTTTATGTTGACTCTTTCACTGTCAATTCTCTGTCTTTAAGTGGTGTTATTTCCCGCCGCTGCTGCTGTCTGTCATATGCTTGTTTTCATCATCATAGCTAGACCAAACTGGAGTTTCACGAGGGCTGTATTCCTCCTGAACTATAGATGACATTTTCATAGCTGCCTCCCTGCAATAACAGTGATTAGCATTAGCTAGTTGGCAGAAGTCACAAGTGCAGATTTTTCAAACTAAATCAAAGTTGGAGTTAAAAAAAACTCACCATCAGGAGTTGAATTCACTTTTCGCAGCTTTCTTGCCTTCCTGAGTGGGGAGGCTGTGGGTAATTGTGCTAATAATGAGGATCCCAAAGCTTAAGTAGCTCAGTGGCACTCTAGGTTAGCCAGTTCAAAGGTTAACAGGCACAGTGAATGGGTCTTGAAATTGCATGGCCATGGAGTAGGAATACTGAGAGCACTCTATAGTGCTCTTAGTGAGCTCTCTGCCTGCCATTTTCAATCTTACTTGAGCTGAACCCTTTCCAGCCAATCTGAAGGCTGAACAGGAACTCCTAACCCAAAGTCTGCAGATCTC